ATGGTAAGTGATCAGCAATAGTTATTAGTTACGTCTCCTATTAAAACAAAACGAATGACATAATTAATAAATAATGCGTTAACTGTTTGTAAATAAACATTTCTGGCTGAAAAGAAATTACATAATTGCCTACTACGTTAGATAGAAATAAACTTCTTACGATATGACGAAAGTCGTCGTCAAAACAAAAACTTTTAAACAAAGAGTCTATAAACAGCACATCAAGCTCTCCTAAACAGTCAAATTCTTCAAACAATTGTCAATTCTGTTCCAAAGACTATAAGGTTCAAAATGGCATACCAATATGATGTTTAAATTCTGTTTTTAATACTTAACATGAAATCATGGGACCGTCAGTTATATTCATGTAACTGAAATATTGCCGTCTCTTTCATTTCTGAAGGAAATGACAAAAACAGGTTATTTATGTTTATTTGTTACTTTGTTACGATACTTTCGAGTTATGGACGAGTTCTGTTGAATATGGTTCGTAATAGAATTTGCCGTAACATTAGACATATTTTCATGAACCACTTCAGGCATCTGCCTGAAGGTTCTCGTTTATCCACTTTTCTTCAGCCAATTAGTTCAGTTTTTATCGTACGATAAAACACATTATTACTTACCGATAGAGTCATTCGGTGACTTCTCCCGCCTATCGTTCTCATACATACGTAACTTCACGCCTGTCGCCCATGGGATTAGGCAGAGGCTATAGAACGCCAATTGCTACTCAACGCTTGATCAACAGTCATCAATCTTTTCAGGTATGCTCGTCGGTTTTTTTTTAAGCGGGAATATCATCGAATGGCTTCTCCCGCCTGGGCGAGACGGCAGGGAGTGTCAGACTCTCACTGACTAAAAACCACCCCGTTCCTACTCCTGTACTTCAAGCCGGGGCACCGGTAGCCCGTTACTTTCTCCGCGGCTCCATATCGGCATCAGCCCTATTGGGCCCCATCAGGGTAATATTTAAAATATATAATGTTTATTTTTAAACGTAATTTTATTTTTTATTGACACCGATTTGAGTATTCTGAAGTCCGTTCTTTTATTGATCCCTAATTTGAAATAGAAATATTCAATAATATTTTGTTCGACCCAGGATTCAGTACGAGACTCCTAACTTAGTCGTCAAGTTTCAAACGTGTCAGTGTTATAGATTTATTAGTATGGTTTCATAACAGTACAGTTAGAAGTATTGTGTTATGCAGTTACGTTTCTTGTTCCTGATTTAATACTGAGTGCCTTATTGTTAGTTCATTAGGTAAGTTTAGTTATGCATGGTTATTTCACGTAATAGTATATCACGCCTTGTGTTGTCAAGGGTTTTTTTTTTTTTTAAGGGGGGAAAATCATCGAATGACTGCTCCCGCCTGGGTGAGGCGGAAGGGAGTGTCAGACTCTTACTGACTAAAAACCACCCCGTTCCTTCTCCTGCACATCGAGCCGGAGCCCCGGTTACCCGTTAGGTTCTCCGCGACTGTCAAGGGGTTTAGGGTTAGGTAGAGAAGTGACGAAATAGACCTATTTCACAAATAGGACTTAAACGCGCATTTTTTGTGCATGTGTGTTTGTTACTGTTCCACACAAAGACAACGGATACTTATACTTATACAATTGAACCATAAAGACTATATTGTAACTGAAAGAGTAACCTATGGAGTTACTTATGCCGGAATACTGAAACGTTACTCAATTTTAAGTCGTGCTTAAATATCGTGCCGGCTCTGTCATTTTACTAAGAATTTGCAGTGACAGAACTATAGTTAAGCGCGACTCAAAATTGAGTAACGTTTCAGTATTCGGGCATTAGTCGTTCTTCTCCATAAGAATCTACACCTTGGAATAAGCAAATAGTTTCACTTTAAATTTTTTATTGACATTCAAAAGTGCCTTTCTTGTGTAATGGAAATAAATGATTTTGACTTTGACTTTATATGTAGTTGTTTGATATATAGGTAGATCGTAGTCCGGATTAAAAAAAATCGGGCATAATGTAGAAACGCACTTTTTTTAACTGAAACGTAACAGTTAGCATTTAGCATGTATTTTTTATTTGACCTCCTATATGATATGGTATCAGCCGTTAACCGATTCTTCCAAGCACAACGCTTCTACGGAGAATTCTGAAATCAATGCTCTATTTAGTGCTACGGCTCACTTCACCGGGCTAACAGAAGGTACTTAAACATATTTCAAAGAACATGCCTATCGACACTCTTGTTTTAAGTTCATATTAACGGAATCGAACTTACCTAAGACCCGTAGTATGGGATCGAATTAATAACATCACGCCTTTTATCCTCGAAGGGGCACTTAATGCCACTATACAATATAAACACCAACTTAATCATTTATGTTATGAGTCCCATGTAATAGAGGGTGAGCCTATTGCAACATACTGGGCACATTTCCAGACTCCGTGTTTCTACTGAAATTTATTAAAAAACCCCATTAATACTTTGCCCGACCTGGGGATCGATTAAAGCAATTCCCATCTCAATTATTAGATCAGCAAGGCTGACTTCTGTCATTTTAAGTGATGATTATTAGGATGAAACCCTCGGTATTCAACTTATAGGGAATGGGAGACGCTGATCACTTAAAATAAAGTGATCCATCATAATCTTTCTGGAGAGCTTCTCTACTCCCTAAAAAACTTTTTGAACCTACTTCTAGCGTTTAGAGACTACAACAGTCCCAGACTTTTATCCCCACAAATTTAATAAAAATAATAATGAAAAACATAATATGTTAATTAGAGGTATTTTATTCCTAACCTAGGTCAACAATTTTGTTATTTTCGTAGTAAGAATCTTCAGGAACAATAACAAAATTATTTCCCAACTCACTTTATGACTTCCACCTGTACTTCACAACTAGCCATAAAATGTTCTAGAGAATGTTACAAATATAAATTTTAATGCATACCTAACATACCATTCTAATACTCGTTTCCATGGCGTAGAATCTGTTTCTTAAGGAACTACATAAAAAAGGATCATAACTTATACATAACTATTATATTTTTAAAAGAGTAACGAATGGAGCTTCTTTCTCGTTCTACTCCATTCGAATCTACATTTTGGAACGAGCACCTAGCTTCACTGACGGATAGACTGACATACTACTATTTATTTTGCATTGTTTGACGTATCAAATTGTGGTTTAATTGAAATAAATGCTTTGACCATTCTTTTTTTAATCCAGAATATAAAAAATGTACCTACGTATACGAAACTTCAGAGTCCGCCAAGAAAATCGTAGTTTTATCGGAGAATTTAATCACAAAAATAGGAGATGTGGTACGATTAGGCCTCCAGTAACTTCATTCACGCGGTAGAATACAATGCAAAAATTGTTTCATTTTGGTTTTCTGTGAGGCCGTGGTATCACTTCGGTCAAACCGGCCTATTCGAGCCGAAGCATGACTCTTCCACTTAAAGGACTTATCGCATCTAAGACTTTTGGTGTAACCGTGCCTTTATTTGCTATCATCTCTTCCGCAATATCCGGATATGCTGATACGCAAAAGTGCATTCATTAAAAGGTGCGCCAAAATATAAATCAATATATAACATATCTATTAGTTTCCAGCTATTTACTAAGATTATCTGAAATCGGCGAATATAAAAAGATACAAAGATTAGATAATGATTCACTGTTTAAGATAGAATTCCAAATTACTTCGTCACGGTACAATACAATTTTGTGGAAATCACGAAATATCGATGACTGTACGTTCTAAAGAAACACTTAAAAACAAACTCAAAGGATTAATCAATAGTAGCAATTGATAGCAGCAGTTTGGAGTTCGAATATTCAAGAAATAACAGCTACACAATGTACAATTTCTAGAAACTAGGTATTCCTTTCATCAAGTAATATCGTAATCCATGACTGAGTAAATAAACAAATAGATCCTATGTCCTTTTCACTACTTATTTATCTCTATTTCCTTAATAATATCTAAAACTAAAACAATGGTTATACTTTACTGGGAATGAACCTATCAACTTAGAGCAACAACAAGCAAAATTAAATTTTTACTCCAGTTTTTCGCAGTGATAACTATTTGTCCGGACAAGAAATATGGCCATAGCCTTTTGTCCAATAAAAGAGGCAGCTAAACGAAAAACGCACGATTCCTAATAAAACAGATCAAACTGCATTTGAATTTGAAAGCTACATAGAAGAACATGAGAGATATTTCAGCTTATCAATATTGCATCCTGTTGCTACATACTAAACATTTCATTGTATGTTTTGTGGACCACCCAATAACATACAGAAAACTAGCAAAAACACCACGAATAGATTTATTCCAATTACATTTAAAATAAACAGCAGTCACGTAAACCATTACTGTTTTACTATTGAAATACTTTATTCAATCAGTTGAATACCCGGCTTCTTATTCATGTTTTAATCATTAAACCAATCAATCAATTTGTCGTAATATTTAATTAACCTTCGATGCAATCCTTACTGGCTTCGCAGGACCTTCGCGCGGTCTATTGTTACACTATAAAACATTTGTCGCAACCTCTGTAGTCCAATGACTGTAAATTTTAATAGCGCCAATGTTTCGAGTCGCTCTGGCAATGATACTTGTGACCGACAATGAGCACATCCGAAATTCGAGACGAACACAATGAGTAATGAAACTGAAATCTAATGTTCAGTGGGATCGTTCAATCATAATTGGGAAAGGTCCAACGTTTTTACGTACAGTAAAATGACCGTTGGTTTTTTGTGACGCTTCTGATAAATACGAACGTAAACAACATAGTAGATAACTAATTAATAATCACAAGCTTCAATGAAATAATAAAAAATGATGCAAACCAGACCCAAAACAAACCGCATGCCGCAAATTTCACAAGCGATAAAACAAAAACCCAGGATGTTGACCGACATTAGTTGTAGATTTATATGTAGTGTCGCCAGTGAAGTACTAGCGGCTGCGAGTGGTGGGGGCGCCGCCACGCGCCCGCCGCGGCAGCTCCGGCGGAGCGGCCAGCCAGTTGTCACACGACAGCCGAGCGAGAAAGACGCGGCCTGAACGACCTGCGTGTTCTCAAAACTTTACGCGACTAACAACTGCAGTATATTAAAAACATTTGACTGAGAGTGTTCAGTTGCAAGTTAAAGTGTTGTGATAGTGATGACATTGTCTCGGAATATTCGGTTCTCATGTCTCCTGGACAAGCTTTGATGTCAGGGATGGATGTGAGAGACCGACTAGTGGAGGAGATTGTACTCCTAGCGCTGTTCCTGGTGTCAACTGCGGCCAACTCGTTGGCTTTACTTGTTTTCTGCCGTCGACCGGGACTTAGAACTATATCAAATCGGTAAGTTCACCTTAACTTTTAAATCACCCTAGTTCCACCTGTGTAAACTTTATGTGTGTTGATAGAAAAAAGAATTTAGCAGGATACTGACTCATCAGATTTCAAGGTCAACATGTTCCCAAATATGAAAACCGTTAAATATTGATGGCATTACTTAAATTCCAAGTTTCACAACAATCAGTGAGTCTATCAAAACTGTTGAACAAACACAAGAGAGAGTTGTAGTCGTTGTTGATGTTGTAAATAATAATTTAAATAGATTAAACATGAACGTTACCGGCGAAAGCAATGGTAATTAATTGACTTTCGACATGTCTGATAATGTCGATGATGCAAAAGACTTAGGGTTGCTAGTTGGAACAGTTAAAGAAACAAAAAACAAACTTCAAACGAGTTGTATTTTGGAATGACAAGTGTACTTTGTTTAATGAGAACCATCCCTAACTTGGGCCAACAGCCAACACGGGCAGTATTATTAGACTTAGCGATGTATCTCTACCTGATGCCATACCTCTTTTCGTTTATTTTGCGGCCGCTATGCATGATTTATGATCCGTAAAGACCATTTGGGACATATTGCAAAGCAAAATTTACATTATCATCGTAAACGATGTCTAATGACAATCATTAAAGATATTATCGTCAAGATTGTTAGGAAAGATTGATATTTAATCACGTACATTTTATCGAAGAGTGTTTATAGACAAGATCTGGAAATTAATGAGAATCGTTTATAATGTGTTCATCAAGTTCATGACTAAGTTTCTACATCGAGCGGTTGCATTTTTAAATTTTTTTAGAACACTAAAATTATCTCATAAGAACTTGTTTTATTTGCAAACCTCATTTTAATCTAGACCAATGTAAAGCAATAATTTATTACATCACATATAAGGAATATCAGAAACAAAAACAAACGGTTCTTTTACTTTAAACGTATACATTTCTTTTTTTGGTACACCCAAAAAGTTTTTTGTGGGCCACCTCTCTGTCCTGATAGTTTAAATGTTTTTTTTTTCATAATTCTTTCCCACGAGTGGCCATGTTTCGTCAGAAGGTCAAACTAATAGTTTCGCATTTAAAAACTTTTTCGTCACTAAGATTTATTGAAGTAACCTTAATTCTCCATTTCTGTAAACTGCGTGAGTTCTTTGTTTCATTGTGGAAATCAACAGTTGGTTGTAATTAAATGAAATCACGTGGACGCAAGAATAGTCAACTGAAGTTAATTCCCACAAAATGTTTGTACTTTGAACCAAAATATTGGACGAAACAGTGACTCAAAGTCTAAACTAAAACTGTAATTTTATTTATTTAGTAAACATGTCCAATATTTGCAACCAAACTCCAAACTACAGATGTTTCTATTGCAGATAAATTATAAATAAAGATTTCCTTGAACGTTAAAAAAAATACCGCGTATCAATGTTATCAGAATGCTACTGTAGACGAAATACCCGGAGCACTAAATTGGCCTTTGATTCTAGCTAAGGCCGTTATTCAGTTCAAGTTCTGTCTGATATTAGAGATAAGAAAAACCCAGGAGTTAAAACAGGCCAGATTGCATAAAGATGTGGCGCCAATACATTACAAGGCTCCAGACTTGAAGCAATATTTCATTATTCAAAGAAATGGACACAGAAAAGTAATTGCTACGGTTTATCAAAATGTCAATTCCATATTTACAGTAGCAGGGCGTATCAAGGCAAAACAATGCTTATATGTTCAAGACGATAAGAAATCATTGGCCTGTAATAATTAGGACGATAGAGTAGAATTAGCATAAAATCGATTATGTTAATGTTATGTGACAAAATCTTACTAACCGTTTGTCGCAAATTTCAAATGTCCGTGAGTTAAGAATCAAAAAATTGCTCAAGGTAATGGTATCTAAAATTATCAAAATAAGCCATAAAGAATACATTTGGCACGATAAAAGATATTTAAATTCAAAAACAGTGTCTCATCGCGAGAAAATATCAAAAAAAATGATTATGTGAAACAAAAGATATAAAATGTTGATTACCATAAAACATCTGAGATGCTACCTGATACTGACAAATAAACACTATCTGTTCTCGTTGTTTACATATTTTTAAATGCACTGAAGAGAACTTTATGCGTATTATTTATTGTTGGTCTATAAAAGTCTTTAACAATCTTGTTTGCACCGATTTATCAGGTTTTTAACTCCAGTGCACTTCTTGTTTCGTGTTTCGGATATCAAGGACTGAGATAATGCGACATTGTTTTGATTATTTAAGGATTATGCGGACTCTTAGTCTTACTAAGAACCGCTATCTAACAGCATGACTATGCATACAAAAATCTAGTGCTTCAAAGTCCATTATTTGCTCAGACATCAAACGTGCGCCAATAATTGTTATTGATAATCTGAAACACATCTAATCAGCTTTTTAATTACAATTCCTGTCTTCAAAGCATCGATTAATCACGTTCAGAACATTGTCGATGCTGATTTAAGCGTGAAAGTATTGAATCCCCGCCGACGATGACTTCCATTTGCATCACGGTGTAGAATAATCTAGAATGTAAAACGGAATCTTAAGATCTATTTGGGATTACGTTCATACACTGACCTCAGTACGTGAGCTGTGTCATCAATTCGAGCCACTAATCAAAGGGGCAAATGACTAGAGTCATTTACTTCAGAACTCATTAACGCCTTCCTTGTTTATACCTAAACAAACAATTCTTTTAAAAGTAACCATAATGATTCTTCTCAATTTGGTGTCAAATGATTTAACGCTTGGACGGTCAACTTGAAAAAATCCGCCAATCAACGTTAAGATCTGATCACGCTCTCTGATCATGGATTTTGTTAAACTACTTTTAATCTTTCCTCATCTAAGCTTTTGCACGCAAACATTGTTAAAACTGGAATCTTACTTGGCTATGAATGAATCTGTTTATCACCAATGCATTGCCTTTATTTATTGTAAACTTTGATATACTTGCATTTACAAACATCATCAAACAATGCTTCTACACTAACAACATTGATAACTTCCTTAGATAGCTATAAAGGTACTTGAAACCTATTAATATCCCATATTAACTTCGGTTGTTCGAAAACAGTTTCTCATGAACCGTCACCATGATTCATCCAATCCTGACCCCTAGATTAGCCAGCCAATCGCGAATGGTTTAACAACCGTGGGTACTTCTAACATTGGATGTAGTTTTGCAATTTGTCCGGTTGCCACGCAATCTAGAGGTTCAAATGTAATAAATGAAACGTCGCTCTTTAGTCAGTTCATTGCGAACTTTCCTCGACATTTTATTAATGAAGATGATAACATTGAATTAATGGAAAATTACGTTTTAGAGTTTAATTGTGAAGATCAAATAAACAATGGAATTTCCTTCTTGGTTCAGTACCTATGTCTTCTGTATTATATACTACATCAAAACTATACTGCGCAAAATTAGGATTGAGTACTATTTTAAATTTATATTGATATTCATCTGCGCCACGTGTTGCTGTAGCCGAATCGATTTAGCATACAATGTTAAGTACTTCGGTAGCACAAACTATCATTCATACAACAGTCGGATACCGAATTTTCGTAACTAACCTCATAAAAATCATAATCGTATTTCAAATTCAATTTATGCCTGCTTACATTGACTTTTATTGTTACTTCTTTATCACTTTATTCATTAACACATTGTTGCTTTAAAATATGCAAAAGCTTTTTCTGTTTCATTTAAATCACGGCAAGAATTTCACGGCACGAGTATTGTTAAATAGTACTATTTATTCAGGAGACCATTTCTTTTTTCTAACCTTTGTAACTATCAAACTTCGAAACCATTTCATCACTTTCTAACAAAAATACCACAAATGAACATTAGACTAATCCCTAATTACATATCTAATTAGTTTAAATCCGTGATAGTAACCCGTTTTCGTTTTACAATGACGAGCGTTTAAATACAAATAGAATGTTAAATTCATTGCATCGTCATTTTCTTGATTTAGTTCATTTGTATCCATAGCAGTAATATATGCAATTTATATCTAATCTGTTTGTAAACGGAAGAATTTTATTGTACGCCGTTCCTCATAATCTGTGATTCGCTCTTGACTTAAAGTTCACACATGTTATTGCTTATAGGCGCACATGTTTTGAGAAATCTTGCTTGAATCATAATATTACTAACTTATTTATAGTATTAGTAGTTCTCTCCTCACGTGGGTATCTTATGCTGTTTGATAATAGTGTGCTAACAATTATTATCGCTTGCATAATATCAGTGGTTTTGAACTGTAGCGACAATACTACTGCACTAAAAGGTCGAGTCAATTGGTTTTGGCACGGCTCCATCGATTTTCTAGTCTGTAAAAATGTTCCGACTAGTTTTTTTTAAGTTCCTATGTCTCTAATTTACTTTGTAATTTGATCTAAATGGATGATTCTAATTGATGGAATGATAATTACGTTGATGCTATAAATACGATAACTCTTGCCGTATTTGTAAATATCAACGCATTCGCGCTTCAGGGCGGACATCGGTCATAATTTATAATTCAGATATCGGCCATAATTTTTGACTTTGACTTTGGAATTGCATCGGAAATGTCATAAAGATTAACCGATAAATATTTATTGTGATCTGTCGGCAATCGAAACTCGACGTTTTCCTGTTGATTACAATTTAACGTGTAATTACCTGCTGCAGTTTGTCAGTTAGTCTCGGGAGTTCTGTAAAATGGGGAATGTTTTGAATGAGTCAGGCAATATTATAAATCAATGCAACGTAAAACCGGATAGCCGTTATTATTGCGTGGAAGAAACCTAAGTGAGCAGTCAACGTACAGTTTAACACGATAATCCCATCTTGTTTACATACTTATCGTATAATTAGACGTCACCGCGATTTTTATTAATTAGACTTCAAGCCACGGAGTCTAGACGAACGGCCATTGTTATGCAGCTTTTGAATTTGGAACGATGGAAAAATATAGTTAATGG